TTTAAGGTTAAGTCGAGCAACAAATTCTCTGCAATGATCTATATATTAATCAAAATTGTACTCCTCATGTATATCCTTGTGTTATCCAATATAAGCCCACGTTTGGCACAAACTGCTGTTGCCCATGCATGATGATGATATCCTAGGGTTAGAGATGCTACAAAACTTATGAAAGCGTTCAAGTCCCGATAGTGAAGTACCAAAATGCTGATTGTCGTACCTTGAACGACTAAAGGAGTCCCACGCTTCTTACTCTCCATTTGGATTGCAAGAAACATCAAGTATATCCCATTTGGATCGAAGAGGGTGGAACACATATAAGCCCGCAGCAGACAAATTAAGAGCCAGCAAAGACACTGGTCCTGATCTTAAGTCTTGGGGAACCGAGAATGACGGAGAGTAAGTTATTTGATGTTTATCTTTATTTTGAGCCATATCTATCTGTATTTGTCGCTAAAATGAAGAACATTGGAACCTATCTTGGCCGGTCAACCGTTATGCTCAGCTATGTAGTATGGTAGATCTAGTAGCTGGTGCATAGGTAGTTATTATGGCAGCATGGCACTATGGCGCGTGGAGGAGATCCATTCTCTACCTAAAGACATCAAAAGTAGTAATGTGTGCAGTATGAGAGATGGGTTGTTAATATAGGATAAATGGCATGGCTGCTCAGATGATAGCACACTTTGGTGAGCTGCATACTGATAACGTGATCGGTCTACAAGCGAACAAGCTAGGGGATAAGGGACGAGCTTCCCCCAATCTGTAACATAATAACTATCATAGTAACTTCACTTCTGCATATTAATGAAGACATCTCTCCACATATTGTCATAGCTGCTCTAGCGCAAGTGTACATTGCCAAATCATATACCAATCATAATATAAACTTCTCGTTCACGCGAAAGACCTCGGAATTTAGGGTTTATATTGATCCTTTCCTTGTATTTAATTTTTCCAGGGTTAAGCTCAAAGTGCCCTAAATTGTCTTTCAGATTCAGTGGGGTTTAATCGTTAGCCGTAGAAGTATATGATAGGTTCGCATATTTGGGCTCAGGTTCCTATGATGTAAGTCTGAACCACGCGACTACACAACAAATTTCGGCCAATTTGATTTCTAAACAAGCTTGTTACTTCAGCAACTAAGCGCCCCTGCCGCCATTAGGTATTTTTCACGCTCTTATTATTATTTCATTTTATTGTCCTGTGTGAGTCTATAAATATGTAGGACATGCAGTTCCTCTCTACCTACAGGCCAAGGATACCTATGCCAAGGTATATCCCCTCCTATGCCTCCCATACAGCTCCCCTCAAACAGTACTACCCCTCACAAGTCCTCATTCAATCATACACTTAGAGGAGCCCTTAGCCCTTCATCATTTCCCCTTTACAGCCAACGAAACGATGGCCATTTGCGGGCGTATGGCAGCCGGGAAATACTGCAAAAACCACTGGGTGCCGGGCTCTTCTAATACCGACATTAGGAATAAATCCGAAGACATGTTGCCCCTTCTGAAGCGTTCAAAGAGGCCGGTCAGCTGAGCGCTGCAAACTTGTGTGTACCTCGGGAAATTCACCCTCTGCCTTTCTAGCCTCCTTCCAACTCCTTCCAGAAGGTCGTGCCGAAATGTCAGAAAAGTCTTGACAGAGCGTGGTTGCTGTATGGCAGCGTAGCCCAACTTCTTTTGTGTCGTCCAGGTCGCTTGGGAGTGCCGTTGACTCATCGACAGAAGAAGCCCTCCTGGCTAATTAGCCGAAATCTCGGTCTTGGCGCCCACAAAAAATCCAAAGTTAAAACTCCTCGAAAATGTCAATCCCAACACAGTCTTCAGAGGCCTGTTCCCTCTCTCCCTCTATACCTCAACTGCCCGTCCTTCCTTAAGATGAATAACCTCGTTCGAGCGATAGTCCCATATAAACCTATCTATGCGATTGCAAGTTGGTGGATTTCGCCATCCAAATCAATTCCTCTACTACAAGGGTTTTGAAGTTTAAAAAAAAAATAGAAATTTTATGAAGGTTAATTGTCGTTATGTTTGCGATGTGATCACAATCGTCTCTTTCAGATTGCAAGTCATTATGATTCCTATTATCTATCCTCAACTGCGGAATGAAACTACAGTCTCTTATGGGTGGCAAAGGTAAAATTGTCCAAATGACTGGGGTTAGATCCCTGTACATTTTGCCTTATTTGGTATGATCTTTGTGCAGGCCCATGTCTAGTTATTCGACTAGTTATGCAAGCAAGGGGCACTATCCAATGACATTCCGTGAAAGTCTAAATTATGGGGATGGTTTTGAACTCAATGGGAAAAGTACAATAGTCCTAAGTTGAAATTCAAAATTGAAAAAAGTCAGTTGATAGTCTCATAAAATGCACATCTATTTCAAAAATTATTGCTCTGTATTACAAAAGTCTACATCGAAGCCCTCAGTATGGCTCGCAACTGAAATGAAAGCGTACTACATGTTTTGTGTGTCTTCTTCATCCTATTACTTTGTGTAGCCTCCATTTGCCTTTATCACTGCTACACATCTTTCGTGCATGCTGCCAACTAGTGACAATAGCTCGTCAGAAGGTATAGACTCCTATGCGACCTGTAGCAATGTCTTCAACATGGCAGAGCGCACAAGCCTGACCCCATTTTTCACTGGACTATTTACCTGAATGTGGTTTTTTAAGATGTTCCATAGCGACTCAATTGGGTTCAGGTCCGGAGATTAAAGTGGCCATCTCATAAGCGTTATTCCAACCTCACGTAGTGCCTTAGTTGTTGAGTGTGCTTTATGACTTGGTGCGTTGTTGTGCATGTATAGAATTCCTGGATTTTCCATGTGAAATTGATGCAAAAGTGGCAAAATCCCTTCACAAAAGGATGAGGACCTCATTGATCCCCAATCCTTCTCCCAGACTAGGAATGGGCCTTTTTGTGATCCGTAAAATGATCCCCAAAACATCCAGCTGTTCCCATGAGTATGGCGAGCCACAATACAAGTCTCATCAAACTCATCATCAGGCTTAACTCTGCTGTTAGTACAAGGAAGATTTAGATAGAATTTAAACGTACTTTTCTTGTGACACGAAGTTTCATTTGACAATCACCCGATACCCAGGTTTCATAAGTCCATAATATGCGACTCCATAGTTAATCGCTCCAATCTAAATGTAATTGGGCGAACTCCAATCTTTTCTGCTTGTTCACTGCGCTTAACGGAGGCTTCTTCCGAGAAATGCATCTGCTGTAACCTCTTTTTTTGAGTGCATTAGAAATTAGACGTTCACTACATCCCCAGTAGCTGAAGGGCCCCATGGCTAGTTCCAAATAGCACATCTGTCGATTTTCAGGAGACTCCCGGACGAATACTTCAAGGTCATCAACTTGTTCCGCGCTTAATTTTGGTGAGGGTCCTTTGCGAGACATAGGATTCTCTATCTCTCGAGCACACGCAAGTTGTACTTGTCTTATTGTGAAGCCAAGTTTGTCGGATATATTTTGAAGTGTCAAGCCAAGTCTTCTTAATGCTCTTATTTCTATACATTGATCGCGAGTTAGGTGCTTGCGAACTTTAATTTCTGAAGCAGAATTTTCGAGAGACATTGTTTGCTAGAATAGAGGATGAATTGATAGTTGTATCAAGATTCAAGGCCTGTGTTGGTTAGGCAGCCAAAAATGTCGTTGAAAATGTGTTTTTCTAACCGAATGTTAGAAGACGATTGGACCATACTTAATGGCGAGCGGGGTAAGGAGGAGAGACAGTCTAACCTATTACGAGCTAGCCCAACTGCGCCTACAGGGCTAATCCCTTAAACAGCCCATTTAGAAGTTTGACCTTTTCCCACTCGGAGGACTACTCTCAACATCTGTCAGTGGTGTCCCCTACAATCCTCCAGCTCTCACCGTAGAGTCTGCAGGGCCGAGATTGAGTTACAAAGCTCTCACTTCGACGAGGATTCCCAATCGCATCCGCCGTCTGTATTGTCTTCATCTCTCAACACATTCTCCAATCACCATTATCATTAAGCTAAACACGATTAGATCAGATGGTAGGGTCGAAGCCCTTCTCATCAACCACCCTTCATATTGGAGACAAAGCTACCCGATGAGTTTCCGGAGCGTATCCAGCACCCGATGCGGAGATGGTGGATTGGATGGAGACGGCCTCGAATATTGCAAAGAAGGGAGACATAGATGAATGTGCGCACCTCGTATGGTCCCAGTGCCTAGGCCTTGCGTGGCTGGGGTGGCAGGTTTTTTTATGACTTTTTATCGCGCACGCAGTTTTTGATGCTACCATTTTTATTTGGGTAGAAGGTTCTGTAGAAAAGGTAGCCGAATTACGCGGGTAAATACTGAGCTGAGTGGATATTCATCAAAGGCAACATACCGATGATCTTTCAAGGAACATAAGCAAGGAGCACTGCTCAAGGTGTGGCTTGGGTCAGAGAGGAGCCCAATTTGCTTGATAGTTATAGATTCAAGTAGTTCAACAAAAACACCTCTCTCTCTATGAGGCGAACTCCATTCCTAGAACGCCTTATATAATCATAATAAGCCACTTGAAGTCCGACATGCCCATCTCCGTTTAAACAAAAGTCATGTACATTCCATCAGGTCTAGAAATAAATATTGTAAATATTTAATATTCAATGGGGAGATATCTACTGTATTCATTTGAGATTCTGTGTCAAGAAGGTTCATTGAAGTGGATAACTAAGGGTGCAAGCATTGCCTGTTAGACATCATGATATGATGACGTAAAGATTTTGATTTCCAAAATTAGCGCTGAAAATTTGTCACCAAAAAATTCGTCATGTCATCGGATTTATGGATATGCTTAGTCAGCTATCATTTGGCTGTAATTGCAAGCCGACTGGTTAGGTTTGTCCGGGCCGAGTATTCGCCGCCATTAAAGAATCGTAGTTACCCGTAGTAGGACAAGCAATTAATCGCAGGATAATTTAAGCCATCGGTGGGAAAGTCTAACTCGACCACTAAAGCATGCAGTCGTTGGCTCCCATTCCCCTTCCACAAGGCATACCGACTCAGGTTCGTACTCAGTATTCTTCCTGTCAGCATGATTTGCGCAGAACAGCACCTCCTTTAAGAAGCTAAGCTAACCATACGACAATTATATTAGGAGATGTCTGTAGACAACGGTATGTCTCCACCGGTCCTCATCTGATAGAGGATACTTGATATCTATCGATAAGCTGATTCAACTGCTGACATAACCTTTTCCATTTAAACAGACTTAAGAGCCCAGCTTGCAGCCGTCATTAGCACTGGGCAACACCCACACTCCCATTCGCACGCGTCTCATGGATATGTTGACGGTCCGCCATCCAGCAGTGCTAGCCCACACGATCACAACATAGATCCAGCAATCGGCAATGTTACGGGCGGAGGCAATTCGATGATCATGGGCACTGGTGGTGATAGTGGTGGAGACGACATCAGCGACGGTCGCAAAAGCGCAAAGCGAGAGCTCTCTCAATCCAAAAGGGCAGCGCAAAATCGGGCGGCTCAGGTTAGTCGATCTCATTTATCAAATAGTTTAACTAGATGACTCGATAGGTCCGCTGGAGGTTTACTGATGGTCTCTTGCTTTGTCAATTCTCATGTCATCCATCTGCTGACTAACTTATGCCAGCGAGCGTTCAGACAACGAAAGGAGGGATACATAAAGAAGTTAGAGGAACAGGTCCGCGAACTACACAACATGAATGATAGCTTGAAGGCATCTCAGGCTGAGAACTATTCCCTCCGCGAATATATTATCCATCTACAGTCACGCCTCATTGAGTCTCAAGGCGAATGTCCTCAACCACCACCAAATATAAATCTAACACACCCGCATACTAGACTGGAACATCATGCACCAGTGGCTCCAATGAACTCACTGCAGGCAAGCACTGCGAGATCTCTGGCTGCAGCTAGTTTGGGAATAAAGCAGGAATCCTACGATCACAACAAGCGATACAAAGATAACACAACAAACGATGATGATATTCATTCTCAACTACATCCTGTCAATGATGTATTGCCTGGTCCATTATAATAACAATATGTGCGTTTTCAAGCTGATCTAACTTGAATAAATTGAACGGTGGGCGTTAAGGTTTGATACGTTGGGAGAGTCTTGGTAATGGTCAGGAAGGCGTTTACATTGATTAATTATATCTATCCTGTCCCCTAAACAAACAAGCATAGACTTTTTGGTATCCCCGTGGGTCTAACTCTTTACTGAACATTATAAATCTACGTTTTTTCCACAACTTATGATTCAATGACTTATCTTTCGATTTAGCCATCACGACTCCATCCCAAATTTGTGCCCTCGTTGTATCTAAAAGACATTTCCCAAATTATGTTCCTTTAATCAATTGTTAGAATAATTGAATCAACTAATGTAGAGGAGAAGCTCGAAATTGACGTTCACACATACCTTCATGTAGTCAGCGCCATACTCTAAGTATTCATCTCTAGTCACAGCAGCTGACTTCCATTCCTCCCCACTAGCCCATCTTGCCGCACCCCTCCAGGGGTCTAATATAGGGTTACTTGCTCTCCTAACAGCTACTGCAGCCTCAGCAGGTAGGTAACCTCTCAACCCTTCTCGCAATCTCTCATCAAAGTTTTGAAGAAGTACTGCTCCACCTGTTAGGAAAATATCCTTCAGAAAGGCTTCCTGGGGTTTGAAATTATTTAATCTATGAGTCAATATATCAGCAGCAATCTCTACAATCCCGGCTTGATCAAGTCCAGCAATAGACGGCTGGAAGAATACTTCCGGCACACGGATTCTCTCGACGTTAAGATGAACTTGGTAGGCCTCAGCCTGAGAGTTTGCGTCGTACGGTCTCGGGCCGCGGAGGAAGGCATGCAGGAGACTTTTTGTCCAGTCTGATTGAGCCTCAAGTGTATGTTGTTCGGTAAAGTCGGGGTCCCATTCCAGTAGGTCTGCTTCTAATTTCTTCAAAGTTTCTCCCAAATCCTCCTCCTCTTCGTCATCACTGCCTTCACCAACAGCAATTTGACGATAAACACCCCAGTCATCGTCGTTGGCTCCAAAGTTGTCGTCATCACCACCGCGACGCCGCTTTTTAGAGGGATTATCAGAAGCTAAGTTAGCAATACTTTTCATGCGAATTTGGCTAGCCAAAGATTTCCGGTTTCCAAGATCCGCCTTGAGGCGATCACGATCCTTCATCTTTTGTATGGTTTCTGATCTCGCATTACGACGTGATTGGAGCCATCCTTCTCGGTCTTTATCTCGCTTTTCGTTATCCAAACGCTTGATCTCGGCCACACGAGCCTTTTCTTTCTCTTTCTCAGCTTTGGCTCGCGCACGAGCTTCATGACTGGACTTCATCAAGCGCTGATGACGTTTTTGCTTAATACCCGCTTCATCTAACTCTTCGTCTGGAATTTCTAGCAGACTAAAATCAGGTTCGTTGGCTTCTTCGTCAGCATCTGGTCCGCCCACATCCTTCGTTCGTGCCTTTCGAATAGATTTATCAAGCTCTTTAATAATTCTCTCAAGCGCAGCCTCGTCTTTGAGAGCTTCAGAGTCGAGAATTCGCTTGGTTTCCTTTTTTGTCTCTCCAACTAGCCTTGATTGAAGGTCTCGATAATACTCAAGCTCCTGCTCTTTCCGTATGAGCTTATCCAGGCGCATCTTGGCAGCTTGCTCTTGTAATCGTCTTCCGCTTTCTTTCCTCTTCTCTGCTATTCTATCGAGCTCTTCCTGACTTTTTTCAATTACAACCTCTTCGACGTATGGAAACTGGATCACGCGGTCATGATCTTGGAGAAACTGTGAATCAAGATACGTAGCTAGCTCATCGTCATAATTTTTGGCCACATAACAGTGTTCCCGGAACATGTATTCGGCTTGCAAAGGGTTAATCTTTCCAGGAAAGTTTGGATACTTAAGACGTAATAATTTCAATAAGTAATCGGCATTTTGTGACCCACCCCAGTTGAGGCGTGTCGCTTGAGTCAAGACTGCTTTAGAATTCCATACAGGTATTACATGCGTGGAACTATGGGAAGATGACACAACTAGTCCTGTCTTGCCACCATTGTACGCGTAGGAAAAGAGAGAGTCGATTCCGTAAGCTATGGATGGTGCTCTGTATGCTTCAAATATAATTTCTGTCATTGCTATTGCCCAAGTTAACGTAGTTTCTCTTGTAAGCAAAGCCACTCGTACTTTTTCGGCAATAAGGCAAATTAGCCACCGTTTCAGTCATAACAATCGGCATGTCGACATTGCCGTTAGCTCCATCTATTCCCATCTTGATGAAAACATAATCCAGTACCGACTCCATCACGTCCCAACTACTTACAATACTACTTCCTGCTTCAAACGCATTTCTCATGTGTCCTCGAGCGGTTGTGTCTGCATAAATATCTGTTCCAACGAAGGCATATATTCTGTCAATTCTTCTGTCTCGGTACCTGGCGAATGTGGGAGTAATATTTATTCGCGGTGCATCTTCGAATGACCATCCAGCTCGAGTTGCTGAAGAACCTTTAATTTAATTATTAGTTAAATAAAATACTAGTATTTAAATGTGAGAGCCTACCATTATCAATGATAATTGCAGTGCTACCTGGCTTGCGTGCTTTTGCAGCCCTATAGAGATCTATATGTGGCTCGATGAAGTTATCGGGGCGTATTTCGGGGGGTGTGTAGGTCTTCAGATTTGTCATTTCAAGTACTGATCCTTGATTTGAATCAGTAACTGCAGCAGGTACCATCGTTGACCACAGAATAGAGGTCCAGAAACATGGGTCAGGAAAAGTTGTAGGCGCTTAGAGGACGGTATTATTTTGATAATAGATCTTAATTTCCGCAGGCCGGCCGTCTCGTTTGGGTAGAATGAATGAAAATGTATTTAGGCTAGGTTTCGACGTCAGGGGCATCGCGTTGATGATGTTTTGATTGACAGGTTGTAAATCGTGTTCGTGATCAAAGCAGAGCCTATGACGCGCAACAGATATGCATGGGAGAACTATTTTAGATAGAAGTCTTTATCCTTAGATAATCTACTGCTTGTCGTGCATCCTTCGATACTCATACCTGTGCGAATTTGTTCAGATGTATTTAGAACCCTCGTCTTGTTAAAAATTGAAAGTAGCAGTACAGGACGTAGCAAACAACGTTTCCACTGATTATTTATTCAAGTAACTCCCAACAAGTTTGAAGTCCGCTCACAGTCAGATCATATTTAACACCCACTCTATAAATTATCCAATCTCTTCGCGTATACTGTGAATAGTTTTTGGCCTCATTCAGAGCAATCAATAGCTACCATATAGAAAAGTAAACACGGCATAGAATCTTTTTTGAATATAAGAACTCGAAATAATCTTGACAATCTTCTAAAATAAACAGACACCTTTGTTACAAACACACATCACCCTTAGAGACCAGATACAAGTCTCTTTCAAAATATTACTGCCTGAGGAGTATTTTCTAGGCAAGATCTTGTAAAATTGTTGGACGGCACTACTGATCTATTTCACCCTTGAGAAGTACCGCTGTTAGCTAAACACTACAACGTGTATTAAATATTAGCATGAAATTCCCTACTCGTTGAGCTAGCATTCATAGGCTGGAAATTTTCTATCAAGACCTAAATCTTTTTTTGTGCTCAAAATAAAAATGGCGCCTTCGGTTGAAGAAGCTGACGCACACCAAGCACTCATTAGCAAGTTAGATATATATTCAGTCCACAAACCATTCCGAAACTCAAACTGGAAACCGACTCTGCGACGAAATAAAAATATTAAAAACATATTAGGAGAAGCGGTTCGTAAAGAAGCGTCTCTGCTCGCAAACCTTGAAGACGGCATCACTGTACCACCCCAAACCGATGGTTCTACTCGTGCTGGCACTGCTTCAAACGAGTCTACGCAAGAACCTAGCATTTCTCAGACATCCCGAAACCCTTCCAAGCTCGTATCAGAAAAGAGCTCTAGATCGAATGGTCTAAGTAGCGGACCTAATCTAACCTACACAAATATTGAGTCTGCTCCCTCACTCGCCCATTCGAAACACTACTGCGATATAACAGGGCTTCCAGCACCATACACCGATCCAAAGACACGTTTAAGATATCATAACAAAGAAATATTTGGCACAATAAGATCTTTGGGTCCTGGTGTTGCAGAACAGTATTTAGAGGCTCGCGGAGCTCACACTATCTTGAAATAAAATGGAAGAGAGATATTAAAGCGACTGACATTGAAACTAAAAGTACACCTTGCACTTAGACTGGCTACGTGTGAATTCTCTCGAATATCAAATCTTGTAACTCGTTATGAATTGTTAAGTTAGAGTAACATCGCTTTGCTTTCCAAAACCTTATACAGAAATCCTAAGAAGCCGGTTTTCATTTAAAAAAGTGAAGACTCCCACACACGAAAGCATGAGAATATATATGTCTTTTTCAAACCTGATAGCAAAATTCTATGTCTATTTATACTTGAATAAACTAATATAGTTTTCCAAATATTCCCGTGTTGCAGTGGGTTTTCTTAAATATTTGATTAAAGATAATGTTACTAGTTTCTGTTACACTGAACTAGTGATCCTCTAGTATCTTAGCCGCTGGTGGATGAGACAGTCCTGCCACTGAATGAGATAGAAGCTAAATTTCAATAAATATCAGGTCCAAAATTCGCTTGCCTAAGTATTTCTGCATCTAGGATAATTATAGCCATCTTCAGATTCGAATACTAAGTGGCGCGGAAAAAAACTTTACTTCAAAGAAAGGTACAGATGAGGCTATTATTTGTACTATCGAATTGTCAGATGGGTATTTGGATATAATAGAGAAGCACAGCTATCTTCAAAGACGTCACAAAACAATTATGTGTAAGTATAACTGATAAACTCCATTGTGGATAATTACAAAGGTCAGACCTGCGTCCAAAACTAATAAATTCATCATATACGCTACTATATTTTGTAGGTGTTTATTATACCATATAAATCATTGAATACATAGCACATTGAGCTCCTCTCTGATCCAGGCCATACTTTAAACAGTGCTCCTATTTTCTTATGGTACTTGAAAGATCATTGATATATTCCCCTTGATGAATATCCACTCAGCTCAGTATTTACCCGCGTAATTCGGCTACCTTTTCTACAGAACCTTCTACCCAAAAAATATGGTTGCAATGGAAACTGCGTGCGCGGAAAAAAGTCTAAAAAAACCTGCAACCTCAGCCAAGCGAGGCCTAGACACCGGGACCATACGAGGTGCGCATATCCATTCATATCTTCCTTCTTTGTAACAGTCGAGGTCGACTTGATCCAAACCACCATCTCCGTATTGGGTGCTGGGTACGCTCCGGAAACTCATCGGATGGCTTTTCCTCCATGATCGAGGATTGTTGATGAGAAGAGCTTCGACCCTACCATCTGATCTGACTGTGGTTAGCTTTATGATTATAGTGATAGGGGAATGTGTTGAGAGATGAAGACGATACAGACGGCGAAAGCGATTGGGAATCCTCATCGAAGTGAGGAATTTGTTACTCGATCTCGGCCCTGCAGACTCTACAGTGAGAGCTGTAGGATTGTAGGGGACACCACTGACAGGTGTTGAGAATAATCCCTCATTCGTATCCTGGAAGACGATAGGCTTCGAGAGCATTCTGCGCATGTCATACAATTACATCTGAAATCTAAGCTAGGTGATGACGGTTAAATACTTAGAAACATACGGTCGACCAACAGATGCTACGCTCTGCCTTGAAAACGAAGATAGCAGAATTTAGAGAGAAAATTAGGGCTATTACCTTTTTCGGTAATGCCTCAGTTGAGACTATAACTCCTTGGGCCTGATAACGGATCAAAAATGTTCTACTGACTTGTGGTACTGTAAACAAAGTCAATGACGAATGGAAGTATTGCATCCGAACTGTAACTTTCGTAGCGTTACAGGACGCTTTAACCGCTGTAGCCGGCGCGGTTTCAAAAGCTATTATTGCATCACGCTATAGTGAGGCGAATCCGACTTTCACCTCGACAACTTGAATCATGCGCTTCCCGGAAACTTGCCAGCATCTTTTACGCACTCTTTTCCTCTTTGGATGCCGAACACGAACAATAATCCCTGCTCGAAGTCACATTGTAGTGTAATTTAATTGGTGCTAGCTCTGGCGCAACTCTCGCACTTGCACCTCTGATACTAGATAAATTTTTTGTGGATCTTCTAAAAATTCCTGAGTAGATCATAGAAATATCTGTGGTGCCACCGACGAGCATATCTGTCCCATCAGATGTATTTACAGCCACTTTCACCATTCGATGAATGACTATAGCTGCGAGCTCACACCTGAGCATTCAAGCCCAGTAAAGTCTCAGACTTTGTTAGAAGCGATTTGATAGAAGGACGCAGAGGGACGGTCGAGAAAACAATTAGAGACTAACTGTGTGAAGTTAAACGCCTATTTCAACCCAATTGTGACGACTGGTAAGCCGGTGCTTTCCTGTAGTCTGCGCTGCAAGACGCAGGCTCAGCGCAAACCTGAGTGGAACCTAGTCTTGAATGCAGGGGCATTTATGTGGCATTCTGATTATTATAAAACCTCAAAAGAGCGAGATACGAGAATATGATACGTAGATGCATATGGAAAACTGTATCATTGGGAGGGATAATGATTACATATAAAATGGCTGTTATTTTCCTCTTCAATCTTTAGCTCACAATAGATGGAAAATAAACCACCTCTGATCATAAGGTAGCCTAAGTGCTTATTTTTAGACTGTGACACCGATTGCCTGGAGCTCCACCCAAAATTTATCTACCAGTTCTATGAATCACATGGCTGTAAGCCTAATCCCATCCCGCAGAACTTTACCGGCTCTATAAATCCCAAACATCCCCACGAACTTCTGGTAGCAGAAAAGTGAAGCAATAGCTAAACTGGTATAAATGACCAGGGCTTCTTGTGAAACGTTAAGTCATGTTCAGGCATTCAAGTTGGTGTCTCGTCTAATTTCGTTGTTTTTCCATCACGGACTAACTGTTTTTGCGGTTGTTTTGACATTGTCATCTCCGCATAATGAAACAGAGTTAGCGTTTAAACGTCGCTCTGGATGTTTCGGATAGAACTGAGGTAGATGTTGGATCAAATATGATTATTAAATATAGAGAAGAAGTTCTGACCTTTAAAAAAAAGATTGACAGATTTTGATTTTACCAAATGCAAACCTCATTTTTCCTAAAAAGTCTAATACTTCTTGCCGTGACTAATCAGCCACCCTACTTCCTATCAATTCAGCAAACGTTAGCAGAGGAGCCAGAGTGCAAAAAATTGCTCAGTACGAAGCTTATCTAATCTCAGTAGAAGTGGCACTTATCAAGGAGCATATTAGAATATGATTCTCTTAGACAACTGATATAGGACTACTGGAAGTAGATTTGGTAAAGTATTGGGTTAAAAAAATGCGGAACGTGTATCACGACTACTTCTCAGCACTCTCTCCTAATGTTACGACCTAGCTCTTGCTACACGCTAATATGGAACTACTAATACAGGGTATGTAAAATCTCCAAACATCTTACCCATTATGCTCCTAAGTAAACAATAATCACAACCATAACTCCATTATCATCACCTCCACGCGACTAATTAAATTTATCCACTCAACTATACCCGCAAAATCAAGCAGCATCATGGCTGCGTGCAACTGGCCGACGTTCTCGGCGTCAAGTGATCCAGGTGACTATTTCCACCCGAGCCTTCTTGGGGATGCTGCCAACATGGAGCAATCAGAACGTCAAAGAAAGCAGTGAACGAGCCTAACACAGTGTCAGAAAGCATGTAGACAGCAGGGAGGAGGCATGGGTCTAAGAGGTGATGTTCAGGTTAAAGGGTGCCATCCTAAATTGTATATGGAATAGGTACGTAACTGATCGGCCAAAAGGCCAGACCAGAATCATAGAACTCTAGATTCCGGTTATCTCCACATATATACATTATACAGAAGGCAATCCTGACACTCAGGATTTTCTGCAAAAAATTGACGCCTGGGCGAAATCTAAGGCAGGAACCGAAGGCGCGGTCCTAGTTACGCCTTTCATTGAAAATATTTCACTCATTGTGACAGCGTTTGCGATAGTCAACGTCAATGCTGCAAATCCCCAAGGCAAGAACCCATCCCATGAAAGTCCTAGGATGAAAACCTCTGTACCCAGGGTGATAAAAATAGCGGAGAAACTGTTGAAATAATTTAAGAATATGCAGAACTCTTCGAGTAATCACGGAGAAATAACGAAGTATAAACTTCAAAGGGTATCTGTAGATGTGAATTATGTTTATAGTAAAGGCTTGATCGAAACTCTTGATCTTTAGTAAAGGATATGAGACTGTCTATATACATTGATGTCTGGCAATGACATGGGCTAGAGTGTAATGCCTCATTACGGGATACAACGGAACAAACTACAGATCTGATACTAGTTACGCGTATTCTCGTCGCAGTCTCGAATATCAGACGTAACAAAAGATGATGGTGTAACTAGTAGCAGATAGACGACACCCGACAATCTTGATGGACACATACCGAAACCACAAGCACGGGGAGTGTCTAGGTTGGGTTCGCAACAGAAACCCCACCACGAACCCCCTCAAAAGCCACGGGAAACTGCTTCTCCATGCGTGACAATAGCCCGAAAAGCAGCCAAGCTCCCGGATCCGCCAGCCAACCTGTTAAAGCGAAGGCCTACCGTGCAGACAAAACCAGCCAGACAAGAACCCCCGATAGAGGACACACGAGTCTTCGTTCGCATGGGGCGAGAAAATCAGTAGCGGATGCTATCACCTGTCATAATCAAGAAGCTCATCACTGAGAAGGCTGGAGTCGCACCTTCAGCAATTATAGCGATGACACAAGTTAGGTCTGGCCTACCAATGGAGTGCGCATCAGACACACCCAGGGAATCAATTCTGGGTGTAGGACCTTCACTTCAAAAGGAGGAAACCACCATTAAGCCCGCCTCAGATTGGACATCGGTCATGGTCCCTCGTGTCCCAATATGCATCAGTACATTAGATGGAAGGATCGAAATAAGCAGAGAAATGGTGAAGGCGAAGTGCCAGGCAGTTTGTGGAGTCACACCAATACAGGTTCTCCCAAGCGAAACCAAACTAGGCAGCTATTACACTAGATGGATCGTGCACTTCAGACATGTACCA